AAGCTTTAAACTGATATCGAAAGTACGTTACATAACCGAAAGTACGTTACGTGATGAGTAAATCGACATCAATAACTTTTTTTAAATTATACTAGAAATAATCAAAATTTTAACACTAAACGTTCCCATACATTTAATATGACATCGTAGAGGCTTTGCCCTCGTAACGAAAAAAGGCACAATTATGCGTGCTTTATACAGCAGTTTTTGAGCCTTTTATTGTTCTAAGGGCAGTATAGTTTTCTATTGTAAGAGGTACGTAACAATAAGTTAACAGAGAACTGATATAAATATAGTAATAAAACTATCTTAATTGAATAAATATATGATGGCATAGTCACTTATTTCGTCAATTGTGAGTTGTCCATAAAAATAAATAAAATTGATCAAATTTTTTTTAGTGCTGAGAATCATTTCATTGTATGGGACGAAAAAAATTGGTATAACAGAAGTTGTTCAAATTTGACAAAAAGGGTTTTTCATGCATAGAGAACTTTCCGTCCACAAATTAGAAAGATAATACTTTCCGTCTCTGGCATATTTATGAGAATCGATTTTTTTATAGGCCTATTCTGTGTACGGACATGATATGAATGTGTGTTTTATCCACAGACATATATCTAGATAGACGCCGCAAGTGTACGTACTTCGCGTGCCCAAAGTAAGTGAAATGTACTTAGTTGCCGCTGCTACACTTCAGAACGCGCTCGACCGTTATCGTAGATCAACACCAGTCGAAAACGTGAAAATGCTTAATTGTGCCATAGTAAACTGCAAAAGCACCATAACGGTGGGTAAATGGGTAAACGGAGACGTTTCCTTACACGGGCAAGTGATTTTGTAATCAGAAGATGCATAATTTATTTTAAAAACAATTATTTTGATTTTGTATGAATTTCGAGAAAACAAATATGCAACCGTGTGTATGCCTCGTGATTTGTTGTTTTTTTTTTTCAGTTTTGTAGCATTTATTATCAGTAGTACAGTCAATTCGAGTAACTTTGAATCGTGGTGTAACTTTGAACGTAGTTCCGTAAAAGATTTAAAAATTTATTTTATGTATAGCAATCTTTTATTTTTAGTATTGAAACTGTGTAAATCGGAACAAAATTGTTAAACGAAAGTTATGAAAGAAAAAAGTAATGTTAAATTGTATTTTTTTAAACTTTCGCGGTTTTTTCTTGGCGAAAGTAGTTTGGTGTGATTTGTTGCTCAGTTTTAGAATCGGAATTAAATATATAAAGCTGAATATTGACTGGTAAGTTTTGGTTTCCACACTTAAGTAGAGGTTTATATATCGCTTTTTTAAAGAATAATTTAATTTAGTTTTATATTTACGCGTAAAACGAATTAGATTTTGACGACGTTATCAAACAGAGAAATTTGGGTAACTTTGAATGTGTTTGACTGTGTTTTTAGAGAAGAGGGTAGTCTGTTTCCAGGGAGAGTTCTAAAAGTTACTCTTTTAGAAATTACTGTCTCAGTGCTCCAAAAATGCTTTTTAGGAGGTTGGTCTTGGCCCTCTAACGTTGAGACATGTCAAGTTAATAAAGCCGATATTGTGAATATTATAAAAGAGCAACAGCTATCTAGAAAAGGCAGCCGTATTTATATTGATGACGACATTTTATTCAAGGAGTGAGGTGAATAGATTTTTGTTATGTATTTACTTTGCCTAAAATAATTGTTATAGGTGATTCATTTTGATCTCGTTTGATAGCTAAATAAGCGTAGAATTTATTATTAAACAGAAAATTTTCATTTTTATTCGCATTAATTAAAAAATCTAAAAAAAAACAAGTTTTTCATTTCAACTAAATTAGTTCGTCTCGTTTTATTATGGCAATACCAAGTCAAATGTCGTTTTTGAACGCACTGTCAGGAATATTTGGACAGATTCACATCTAAAAAACATGAATATGTCGTATAATCTTACACAAACTGTAAAATATCTAGAAAATATACGGTTTCCATATCGAAAGCTAATCTTATTCAAAGTTACCCAAAATTCAAGGCAACTTTGAATGTGACTTTTGGAGCAAATCTAGAACAGTTTTGTTGAATAATTACTAAATTCCTTCTGTAAGAACGAAAAAAGGGCTTAAAAGGACACTATTCAGTTAATAAAGTAATTGTTAAGAAACATAATTAAATTTGAAATTATTAGAAAAACGCAAAAATGTTCAAAGTTACCCGAATTGACTGTATCTGTAATTTCGATAATTTTTGAAGCACGTTGCCTCGAATATCCGAATATAGTGAGCAAATAATTACATACAACGCCAGATATGTAGTAGGAGTAATACAAAAATATATATAATGCAAAGAATTAACAGTGCGCTGTCTTTACAAAAACCTGGAGTTGGTCATACGTATGAGTTCGTTGCTTTCGAGGGCGAAGGTGGTCTAATTTATCCCACCTAAGATGCTATCCAAATGAGTTAGGAATCCGAGAAATAATAAACAAATCACAAAAATTTCACACGAGGTCGTCATTAAGTAAACCGCTTCTGATTAATAAGATTTTACCATATTTTGTCAGTAGTAACATTTTCAATTGTCTTGCCATTCATCTATTTGATCAATTACCAACTGAAAACCACCTAGTAAAATTAATTAAGGCAGTCGCAAGTTCATATAATGACGTGCGTTTTCATTAAGTTAATCGATAAAATCTTCTATTGCAAAAAGATGTTATTTAATATGCTAATTTTATTGGAAGGACAATAATTTTAATATTTGAAGTCAGTTAAAAATGAAAGTCTTAATTTTTTTTAAGTAATCAATTTTTTAAAATTAGTTAATAAAGGACTTAACTATCTTATTCTAGTATTTTTCTACTATATTAATATTACGACTACTAGTAATCAACAAATACTTGAACAAAAGGTATTCTATTGGGCTAAGCTATTTAGAATCGATTAATTGAATGGAATACGCGTGTTTACGCGTATTCCGTTCAATCAATCGATTTAGAGCGAGCGGTAGGAGGTTCACTAACTCATCACTAAATAGTTCTTGTGACGTCATAGTGGGGTACAAAAAATATGGCACGCTTGGTTTTCATACGAATTGCTGTACTTGCGGCGTCTATCTAGATATATGTCTGTGGTTTTGTCTGTGCATTTGTAAAAATAAGCTAGTGTTGTCTACTTTTGTTTGTGTGAGACCATAGTGACACGACTCAATATTACATTTGAGTACACCTGTTTGCTTGTACTGTTACCCCCCGCCCCTCTAATATTAACAGAAAGTTTTGATCAATAACGCCTCCCGTCCTATATTATGCTCTAAGGTCACTAGTATTGTAGGTCCTTTCACTGTAAAATAGAAACAAAAGAAATAGATTATAAAATAAAATCTTTATTAACACAAACTATAAATTCGATATTATAAATATATAACATTATCATTTTTACACATGCCTGATAATCTAACGAGACTTCGGTTTAAAAAACTGATTTTTTTTATTCAGCATGTTCTTTCAGAACAAAAAATAGTACATGAAACATTTGCATAGGGATAACGAAGAAATTAAATATTTGCAAAAAGAGATTCAAGGTAAACGTTACGTGTGCATTTCATTGACAAATTAAGTTCCTAGTTACTATTAAATAATAAATAATAATAAAATCGTATTGCATCCATAATCTGCATTTTATCACTTAAATCTCACATTGATACAAATAAATAAAACTTATATTTCAAAATGTAATGTCGTATATACATATATTATAGAACTTGTACATACATACGTATAGTTCTTTTATGTAGTTTGTTTAGCATTATTGTTTTGCTAAGTAACATATTATTTCAGTTCGTTTTGTGGATGATATATTTAGGTATTTTACAGTCAGCGTTAAAATATAAATATAATATATAACCACTCTGGAATGTTAGACGTTTTTAATTACTTTAACCATTCAACAGGTTAATGATATTAGGCGACGCGACAGAGCGCGCTTTGATTATATTCATTTTGACGCTGACTTCAGTCAAAGTGCAGTGATTTAAACAAATGTAAATAGTAATAAAATAAAATAGTTGATACATTTATTATATTACATCGTTAATTATTATACAATATAAGTAACAAATAAATTAATATTTAAATACATTGGGTGGATAAGTAGTTTTAAGTACAAACTAAAATACTTAACTAAATATACATAAAATAATCAAGAACCCAGGAAGCACCACAAAGCAATTTTTACATCTAAGTTCTCGTCAATAATCTACGCATATTTCCTACATAAAAATGTCCAATTCTATTTCTACCAGAGCCTAGGAAACATACGGTAAGACATGTTTATTATCACAAGAGAGGTAATAGTTAATTAATTTATTAATGGGACACGGAAACAATGATGTGGTTCGTACTCAGTACTTATTATAGGTTCAACGTACTCGCGTGTCAGATAAACGATATGTTCGTGAACAATGTGTAGTTGAAAATAAGGAGTGTGTTAAATGGTGAATGACAAACCAGTCGTAAAACATGTTTGTATTATTTACCAGTACAATTGACATGCCTGTACAAAAGAAGAGCTACGGATATTATTCGCGTGTTTTTACTCACCTACGTCACGTTTTTTTTGTTGTTAGAATTAAAAAGCAAATATTTAGTATTAGTTTGGTTTAATTTTTATTTAGAAAACACTTCATCGAAGTTACTATTATGACGTTACTAAGTAACAGATTGAAAAACTTGCTTCTAAGGCTATCATAGAAATGATTTCAAATATAAATTATATAATATGATTACTATGAATTACATTACTTAATTTTATAGTACCTACATACATGCATAGTCTCATTAATAATTTAGGCAGACCTAAAAGTAAAAAAAATAATTTTGCCTTAGCATTCTTGGAGATTCATTAACGTCTAGCGAATATTTCCTCTACATAGACCTCCCGAACCTAAGTAAGTGGCGCGACAGCGGATTAAATTAAGCAAAGCGAGTCACTAATACCGCCGACCTGAAGGACGGTGCGAGCCTAACCGTCGACGATGGTAGCTGGATGCGGGACGCCAACGGTGATTAGGAACAGGGGGCGTATTATAAGCTTTTAAAAAACCATGCAAGTTCCAGGCAATTCTTTTTACGCCCAAAAACTGACTGGTAAAATTCGTATTACGACATATTTTTTTCAGACTTCTTGCTGGTTATTTTGTCTACGACTTAGAGGTGGGCGTTTAAACGAAAAGCCCTTAAAAAGTCTGCTTTTTAAAATAAGCGCGAAAGCACGCTTTTCATTTTAAGCGTAAGCATTGGTCACTGGTCAGTTCCATAGATACTCAATAATTTCATTTTTTACAACGTGCCGTGCCTAGGTTTCAAGTAGCGCCATCTATGTTTCCTAAACAAATTAATTCAACATAACGTTGCAAGCTTTTTAACCCTTAAATGCGTGATTTATTTTATTTCGAAAAAAAAAAATATATTCGTTAGTAAATAGGTATAGTTGTATGTATATGTATAGTAGTAATAATGCCAATTTATATTGGTTTTTTGCTTTATTTAGCGAAATACACTATGTTGTTTTAAAACAACAATGCGCAGTTATTAGTGAATGTAGAGTATGAATGCTAGTGAAGAACACACAAAAAAAGTGAAAAGTTGTGAAGTGTTCGACGGAAGGTACAGGGCGTAAGGAAGTATAATAGGACCATATTGGGATCATACCGGGGAAGGGTGGATGGTTTCTACCTAACCTGTTGAGTAGGCGTGACGACATATGTATGAAATAAACAATGATATGTTTAGTTGAAAAAAAAAAAATTACTCAGAAGGTTTATTTGTTATTCGAAATGATACCTATAAAAACAATTCTTAGATTTTGTATCACAAAGTGATACTTGGCATTTCATGCATTGTTTGAACGTATACCCATTGCACTTTGGGAACTTACATCTTTGCTGCTTCTCTAACCAAACTGCCCAATGAGCAGTTTGATCGAGACGTATATCCTTTGCAGGCGTTGTTTGAGCGTTACTTCGGTATCTCTTCAGATCCAATTCCACCGGAAGATTGGAGCTAGGACGACCACGTTTAGGCCCATTCGCAGGAATACCAACCCTGCACAGTGATTCTGCCAAATCCAATCTAAAGTTGCACAAATTCAGTTTAGCCATGTCACAATCTGTTTGGATTTGAACTTTTTTGTACATTATCCAGGCATTAATTACGCTTAGGTCAAGCAAATGGTAAAATAGTCTCATTGTCCATTTACGACTTTTCATAGTTATATGGTAGCGTCCAATGAATGAATCTAAAAGATCCACACCACCCATATGTGCATTGTACTCACGGACTACTTTTGGACAGGAGATAGGAACTCGCTCTTTTTTTGTTTTGTCAAACCGTGTCACTGTTGTGGCAGGCTCAGCGCCAACGTAAGTAGACAGTAGATTGACTGGTTTGTTGTCTTTCCAAACTACTGCACTTACATCGATCCCATCGACATTGGCTACATTTTCTTCATAAAAACCTCTGGGTATGTTTCTTTTCATAAGTGCTTTTTTGTCTGGAAGTTTACAGTTGCGCAATCGATTTATGCGAACAGTGCCAAGAGAGAAAATACCTTCTTTAGCAAGATATGTGACAAGTGGTAGAGAAGTATAAAAATTATCAAAGGTGATAATATGGCCTACTCGCCTTGGCACTATCCGCGCTAGCCTAACAACGGTATTTCCAGCTTCGCCTAGGTCCGGCTCATTATGATCAGGAATGTTTTGCCCATTGCTGCCAGTATATATTTCAAACTTATGGGCGTAACCAAGTAAACTGCAAAGGAGATACAATTTGAAGCCCCACTTGTGAGGTTTGTTAGGCAAATACTGTTTGATATAGTGACTCATTTTCGTCGCACACATTTGTTCATCTATTGATAGGCTTTGATCTAGTGGTATTTGACTGAATCTATCGTTGAGTGTGTCTATAACAGGTCTGATTTTATACAATTTGTCACGGCTAGGGTTGTCTCTAGATAGCTCTTGACTATTAATAATTGAAATGAATGATAGATCTTAATTTTTCAAACCTTTTCTGGGGCATCGTTTTCTTTATAGGTTCGTAACCATATTTGTTACTCCAGTATAACCTTGTACTTGGATATTTTATTACGGAAGTATAAATGAGTACACCTAAAAATTTGTTGAAATCATTGTCACTCATGGAGACTGGATAAGAAATTTGCTTTTGAGTTGCATATAAATTGCTTTCGTTTATTATTTTCTTTTTCAAATCTGGTGTAAAATAAAAATGGAAAAATTCTAGTGGCGTCCTTCTCTGCAATAAATCTTCAGGCAATACGTGATTACCTTTAAACTGGGTATCACATTCCTGCATATGTGTACTGCGCCACACTATCGGCCTGCTTGGGATTTAAACCCACCTGCTAAGCCTTCAGGTTCCTCGTTTACCAAGGGTGGGTCACGATCTTCACGGTCGTCGTGTTCAGCGTCATTTTCCCCGGAATCGACTTGTTCAGTTTCATCATCCTGCTCCTCGAGATCTGCAATAACTTCCCGAGCATTCGCATAATAGCTCACCTCATCTTCGCATTCGGAGCTCGAATCATCCAAACCATCTTCAGATCCCTCTAATTCTTCTAGATATGCAGCTATTTCCTTATCAGAGACGCGTGGCATGCTAAAAATCGAAGAAAAAACCCATCACCATACAAGCATTTTTTTTCTTACAAGTACTGCGCAATGTTGTTTTTACACAACATAACAAAATTTATCAAAAATATTGTTTGTAAGTAATTGCTCTTCTGAAATGTATGAAAATAATGAAAATAGAAATTATTTACTATAATACAATATATATTTTTGTACACTTACCTGTAAACTTTAATTTTTACAAAATTATAAAAGTATTGAATTTGGCGCCACCATACGCGGGAAATGCAAGTGTCATTTGATTTGTCAAAAAGTAAGAAAAAAAATCAAAAGTAATGTTGCCAATTGACTTATTCGGATTATTACTAATTTCATAACGATAACGTTATAAAATTATTTAGAACATAACAGTAACGTCGTATTTACGAACACTTTTTCATTATGTGGTTTAAAAACCACAGCACGCATTTAAGGGTGCATAAAGTCTATGCGCTTAAACGTATTTCTAAACGACTAAGCGTCAATCTAAAAAGCGTTTGAAGTGAAAAGCGCTTTTACAAGCACGCTTTTCAAACGTACGTTTTAACGGAAAAACATATAAGCAGTTTTTTTCCATTTCAACGGTTAACAACTACAAAAGTTAAACAACTTATGTTTTTGAACGCTTTTAAACGCCAATAATCAAAATGTTAATATAATAATGTTATGTCATGTATAAAAATATAACTCGTTTTTTACAAAAAACTTTCTTATCTTAAAACATTTAGTGGTCTTCTCTTGCGTTTCACTGTACATACAACGTTGCAAGCTTTTTCAACATAAAAGTCTATGAGCTTAAACGTTTTTCTAATCGATTTTGTTAGCTTAAACTAAAAAGCGTTTATGTGAAAAAGCGTTTAAAAAAGCACGCTTTTTTAAAAAAAGCTAAACGTTTAAACGTTTAAAAAAATAAGCAGGTTTTCCCATCTGTAAAGACTGGAACTTGACTAGATCGTGCTTTTTAGTGTAACGTTCAAAAACATGGATAAATATTTACCGGTAAGCTACGGTGTTATATTTGTCACTTAGTTTATGAGAAAAATATTAGATAAAATATTAGATACGTATTATTCATGTACGAAAATAAATAAAGACACTATATAATAATAATAATAATAATAAAGACATTATATAATAAAATCAATACACCATATTTTAATTTTTGGACGTCAAACGTCGACGAAATTCCGCGAGTAACTGTTTACTTTGTAATTTGTTGAAAACATGTCAATAATATTTTAAGAATATTTGACTATAAATTAAATTGTAAGAAATTGTACTTGGCTTTAGCGAAATATAACCTTAGTTTCAACGAATAAATCGGTCGATTTTGTAGGCCTCGATATGTGCGGTTTACGTTCCTCGCAAAGATTAGGATCATTTTTTGCTGAGCCGGTATCTTTTAATAAATTGTTGTGCGTCCATTTCAAACGGATCACTACGATCTTGCAGTTGTCTTCTTTGGATTTTTTCCATATTATTATCGTGTGTAGCATCACTTTCGAGACTTGCAAACATTTCGTATTCATCAAACATGGTGAAACAATTGCCTAAAAATATATAAAGTCAAAATTATAATAATTATTATACAATTATGCACAAAACAATTCAATATAATCTCAGTATAGAGTACTAAAAAAACCGACCTCAAAATTACGTGGAATCACATCTATTTGCCAAGTTTTATTGAAATCGGTCACCGGAAAGTGCGCAAACCCGGATTCATCCCCTAGTTCGCCACTATATGGAACTTGACACAGGAGATAATAAAAATCGGTTCTCAATACTCAAAGTATATTGAGAGAGAAAAACGCCTTGAATTAGAGAATAGCAAATTCAACCATTAAAATAATTGCTCCTTATAATAAAATTTAGGCGCTATTTATAATAATGAATCTTAATGCGTGAACAGCCGCCCTTAGAGGTGGATGATTCTCTTCAAAATTATATATATAATAATCTTCTTTCCAACAAAAAAGAATCATCAAAATCGGTGCACAAATGGCGGAATTATCGCGTAATATACATGCAAAAAAAACATACTCTAATTGAGAATTGTTTTGAAGTCGGTTAAAAAGCTACACCAAGATATTGCAAACTGAATGGTTTATTGCTGTTATTTTTTGACAGACCAACCGTGAATAAAATGTCAAAATAACGTTTGTAATACGATATTGCCAGCCAAACTTCGGGCAGAAGACAGCCTAGTGTCACGTGACCGCTGACTGGCTGGTATTACCAGTTTATAATACGAAATTACAAGGCAGTTTACGGTGTAAACTGCGTGGAAATAAGAGTTCATATTAGGCCCCCAGGCCGTTTCTCGGGTGCCGTGCTCGTTGAACAGTCGACAGCCCGCCATCGGTAGACAGTGATCTATGTTAATGTCGGTTTCGTTTTAGGTACGTACTGTGGGCTTGATTGAATGCTATCGGAACCTACTGCATTAGACATGGTACGAAAAGGCTAAGGCTCGTTTTTATTTTCACCTCTTACTGACAATACACTGGGTTCGGGTCGAATAATACAAAGGACTATGTGAGCGCTCCGAGATACGATACTGGCGAGGCTGTCTGCAACCCTGTTCATTCCAGCGTAATTGTTGGCTCCGCGGGACAATGACCAGAATCGGTATCTGTCTCATCTCTCTATCTGTCTCTCTGTCTATTTACCTCAGTATCGCTGAGACGTGGGGATATTGTGTCAATTTTTAATATTTACCACCTCATGTGCTAAAAGCTCTAACTGATCTTCGCGTGTTGCCCAAGTATGCGAGCGCGGAGGTAGGAGCACATTTTTGCATAAAGTTTCACAGGTGTTAGAGAGCATTGCCTTGGGCATAACACTTCAAATTCGTCTGACGTGTGAGAGGAAGAATAACCCAGTCTTCTCTAGGAATGGATGCGTATTGCAATTTCCAGTTAAGTCGAGACTCCAACTGAACCCACACTCGCTTTTATAAAGCCGCACGCCTTTCAAATTGAATCTACCGCATTTCGCAACAAAATCAAAAACTTGTCACATTGTATGTTTCCTAGGCTCTGGATGGAATCACAGACAGCAAGCATAATATGGAGTAATAAGTAAGATAGTTTAGAATTTCAATTATTGCACAGTTTAATTTTGAAATCTTTGTACTAAGCTATATTTAAAAATAACACTTAAAAATAAGTAAACAATTAAATTTCTATTATTTTTCATTTAGATTTACTTTGAATTATTATGTCTTCATTATGGTATCAAGAGATTTTAAGTACATTTTTAATATCTAAAGTGGCACTGTAGCAACTTTATTGAGACTTCCCTCTCCTTAAGTAATGTAAGATTTAAAATTAAGTGAGTTAATAGCAGAATCAAAGAGCCATGAACAATGGTAACCCAAGATATGTCCAGGGTTCGCACTCGCTATATACAAACAAATTTCAATGGGTAAATATAATATCATTATCTTTAAGGCCCCCATATACGGGACGATTTGTCCTCACGTTCCGATGTTTCAGACTCATCGAAACAAAGAATCAATAGTGTATGTTTATCTCGTTAACGATTAACTTGAACGTAAGGGAAGTAGCGACAGATCAATACGATTATCGTGTGATCCATCTAAACGAGGTCTCGTCTTGATATCGGAGCCTTTACAATAAATTCAGTGCGTGCGGTACCTACACAACTGCGATTGCAGTACTCACAAAAGTTATTGTATTTATTTATGCACGACGTATATTAGTTCTAATTCGTATTAACTCTCTACGCGTTTCTTTACGTGATTCCAGCACATAATGCTTATATTATAGTTTGAAATGTTATTATGTTTCTCTACTAAGTTTTCTTTTTAAAGATGTTCTGCAAGTTCATGTTAGTTTTCGATTGTTGGAAGATCTGAGTAACGCGTCGACCAACCTCCTGCGCCGCGTGCAGGTTCGAAGCAGGTCGGGGCGGGTCACGAATCACGTCACTCGTCGACGATCCTCCCACATTGTGTAGTAACGCTTCTATCGCCGGTTTATATTGAGAAAGTGAAGGTGTTTGAACGATTTCTTCTAGTTTACTGTAGAATTCAATTCACGTATTAGATTGAATACAAAATATACTATGTACAAGATTTAGATATATTGCGCTGTAATGACAATTGCTTACGACACAATTCACAATAGACAATAAACAAAATCATATTATTAATCGTCTTTCTTGAAGATTGTTATTATCGGTCGATACGGTGCGTTTTGACGCTCAAAAGGTGCCTACAGATTTGCTCGATTTTTTACGATAATTATTGTCGTTTGTTAGTGATCGGTAAATATTAAGGTTAAACTAATAAATAAATAACGCAAACACTCATTGCCTTTTATTATAGGTAAGATTAGTAGGTACCTTAGCCTAATTTAAATTCCACAGTGCCGATTATCAAAAACTACATTGTTGATCGTCTAGTGCTCACGCATTTACTAATTTTGTTTGATCGTCAAAAAATCTGTAGCCACCTTTATGAAAACGAATAAAGCCTGAAGTGTTTTAAATCAGAGAAAAATTAGGCATGTTACCGTAACGCAGGCAGCAGTGCGGCGTGCCGTGTGTGGTGTACGGCAAGCTGCAGACCAGGCGTGAGCGCCAACAGCCATTCGCCACATGCGGGAGAAGGCGGCGCCTGACATAATGCACACAGCATCGACACCGCTGCAGATAAGATAGTACGTTTACCATAACTTTACACCTTTTTTTCTAAAGAATATTTCGCAATTTCCCTCTGATGACCTTGGCTGCACATCGGACAAATGGCGAGCTGAATCCCCTTAACTCGTATAAAGCACACGAAACATGGGTTGGGGGAAGAAATAACTCAAAGTACCTAAATATTCTAAAGACTCACGCACATAATGCGAGTCGCACTGCACCGCATCGTAGAACAATAATCTTCCTAAATTACTTTCGTACATTTTATGTATAAAATTTAGATATGTTAGATATTTATAATGTAATGTATTATCACTACCCCGGCTGTCTGTCTGATCGCGATAAACTCAAAAACTACTGAACGGATATTCATGCGGTTTCCACCAATAGACAGAGTGCAACCATTATAGTTAACTAAATTTCTGAATCGATTTCGTTAAAAGTTGGCAATAAAGTTAATTCATTATGTAGTCTACTAGTATATGAAAGGGGCGGCTGGTACTGACTACGTGACCTGGGGCGGCCAAGACTGCAAATCCGCCACTGCGGGGTGCACGAAAGGAGCCTACTCGCAATAACATACGAATCATTCTGTGACGCTTCTCGTGCACCCTGGATAATAATCGGCGATACTATACCGATTAGTAAATCTTTACAGCACGATGGCAAACATAATCGTATGTAGCGTAAATTGAAATGTTCTTTGGTAAATCATAAATAAGGCATTTAAATCACTATAAGGTCAAATTAGAATAAGGTGGTGGTATAGTTTGTATTAATATTAGGGGTTAAAGTATGAAATTGCCGTTTTATTGCAATAGGT